CCCCAAAACCCCAAAACCCCAAAACCCCAAAACCCCTAATCAGCAGCTCGATATGGAAATATTATTATATTAAATGGCCATATGCTTCATTAAGATCATAGTTCTATTACTATTAGTCTTCTAAACCAAATCCATAAATTTCTTTCTGCTCTAGAAGGGTATCAAATGCGTCTACTAAGTCATCCTCTTCTGGGTATCTTGGAAGATGTAATCTATTAAAGCAAGTGTATGCTTTGGGTAAAGAGTTTTCATCCTCATAATCCACTGGCCTGATTCAAAACTTGGCTTGATCTCCTCTGTTTTTCTTTAAAGCATTGAATCCTCCAGCAGGGAGTTTAGAAATTCCTGTAACAAATTGGAAGATACTTCTGAGATCATCTTCGTCTCACTCCTCAAGATAACTCCAGAACCACTGGATGACTTGGGTAGTAGAGTCATAATCGTCTAGGTAAATGGTGTTCTTCTTCCAGTCTTCAATGTCGATAGCGTCTTCTCCACAGCACAGATATCTCAGTTCTTCGTAAGTAAAGTTTTTGATTGCTTCGTTGGGAATGAGTTTGAAGAATCCCTCTCTAACTGCATTCACTTGAGTCATGATGAAGTTCTTTACCATGAAGTTTACTTTGAGGATTATGTAGATTTCTTTGTCATCGTCTGTAACTCTTCTCTCTTCTCCTCCTTGATCGAGAGGGTATGAGTGGCCATCAAAATCGTGTTGGAAATAGAATTCCATCAATTCATCTTCATCGATTTGGTTTTCAAGCATGTATTTTAGTGAGTTATAGACGGCGGAGTCGAACTCTTTAATGTCTTCGAGAGTGACATCATAGTTTGGATTTATAAAAAGTTTGAAGAAAAGATCATTGAGTCATAAGTTGAGTGGAATTTCATCAAATACAGCCTTTGCTAATGCTAACCCAAAAAATTCAAATTTCTTAAGGTAATCTTCTGTTTCATAACTTTTTTCATTTATGACATAAGATACTTCATCAGTTGCAGTTTCTCTAAAGAGGCCTATTTTATGTAAATAATTATAAAAATACCTGTTTCAGGGTCTAAGAACTGTTCAGTAAGAAGAGTAAACCACTCTTTCTCCATTCCTCCTGCATCTTGGCCTGAATATTTCATTTCACCTCTGAAAAAGATCTTTAACTCCTATAAAAGTCATTAGAAAGGCTATTATCATCAACTTTTAGCAAATAGCATCAAAGCCAAAACTAAAGTTTACCTTCTGGTGGTCCATATTCATAAACTGAGTGAAGGAGTCGTAAAAGATGTCTTCTCTATCAATATAAATAACGTTTGATCCTTGAGTAAAGGACACCTTGTAAACATTGAGTTTTTCTCTCAGATAATTGATCTTCTCTTCAGTGCCTATACATTAAACTTTGTTAAGTACTCATATTTTTATCAGAGGTGGGCTTGCTTCCCATCTTCTTGTAAAAGTTGCTCTTGCGCATCTCTATTCTTCTAATCATGGCTTCAAATCTATCTTCACCTTCAAGTTCTTTGAAGTCTTCTGAATATTCTATAATTGTGATGCTGGAGCATACTTGAGTCTTCCTCTTCCAGGTTTCTAGATTAAGGTTAGTACAAGTGAAGTAAATCAAACAGACTAGTTCTAGCTAACTGCAATTTAATATTAGGTTATGAAATTTGAGCTCAGAATAGTATTGTTGGATCAGAAGAAGGCTTTGAGTAAGATAAGCTGATAGGAGAACAAAAACCAAAGTTATTTAAATCTATTTATTCTGCAACCATTCCCATAATTTCAGAGTTTGATAAATAGGAATAGAAAATGTGATTATTTAACTTACTGATTGTCGTTTTCACCCGAATTGAATAAATGGGGAAGCAGATTTGCAAAGTCTTGTGAGTTTACAGCCTATTTTATGTTAGAAAAGCATTACATCTGGTACGTCTCCATCTCTTAATCTTTGCGACCAAGTCCTTTGAGCAGGATGTTGAGGTGCTGGGTTACCAACCATTTGTTGTTGCTGTGCCCTAGGTTGGTTGTTTCCTCTATCATTTGATCCATTTCAGCCCATTTCCTTCGTTATTTTAATATTATATCAAATCGGATTATTATTCCATTTAAGTAACAAGCGAGGGGTTTTGGGGTTTTGGGGTTTTGGGGTTTTGGGG